CACTAAGCTTGCAATGACGAGGCCCTTCGGCCTCAAATATAAAATTTATTTATTTATCATTCCCGGGCTCAGGAGAATACAGCAGCGATCTACAGACGAGATTTCTCTCGAATCTCCCGATTGCGACTCGACGAACTAAGATCCCGGTCTTCACGAAGTCATCCTTTGGCAAGTCGATTTCTTGACTACTGCTGGGAAGGATCGTGGAGGATCCAAGTGAGTCGTATCATTTCTTAATCTTCATTGTCATCCTCGTTTACTGTTTTTACACCTTTTACACTAGAATAGTCTGGTAAATTACTCACTAGTAGTTAGCCTACATTAGAAAGTTTTCCGTTGCGTTTTTGCTAAGACGTTTTATATATTTGTAGTGATTAATCCTCTACATATGTCAACTAACGGTGTTACGAAGTAGAAGCTCGTTTAGAAAAAAATGCTGTACAGATTCCATGTTCTCCGCACATAGGCGCGTCCCATATCGGGCCTAACCTACATTTTCTAAAGGAGGACTCGAATATAACAATTGTTAAAAGTTCCGAAAACAAACCCGTCTATTTGTATGCTTTTTTACATGTCAGTTCGGTTTTACTGAGGGAAGGATACTAAAACACCTTTGAGCTCCTTATTGATGACATGGGGGCTAAGAAGTGAATCGATTTAGCAGAAAAATTCAAGAAAGAGATCGTTTATATAATTGTAAGCGAATACCGAACAGCTGTTGGTTATTCGAAAGGAGTAAATTTGCACGACTGCTGAATTATTACGAGTAGTATAATAACACATGTAATTATTACCTCAGTGATAGTACCTCGGCTTAGTGCTGGTGTCAAATGACGCGGGCCATTATGTGGAACAAAAGCAAAAACAGCAGACAGTGGAATAAACACCATGGGAACTTCTCGGAGACTATGGAAGTTTGAAGGTGATTTGAGGGAGTTTAAGGAAAAAAACCTGTCGCTCGTGGAAATAAAATGTAAGAGCGTTCTGCTGATGAAAATGTGTCCAGCAAGAAGCAGAGAGCCATCGCAGGCAACGAGGAGGGGCCGTAGACTTCACGAGATCATCACCAAAGTGCCGGAGATGCGACCATTATACGCTTTTGCTGATTGTCGATTCTGCCGATGGGTTGACGAAGAAAGGAGAACCGGCTACAATCTTTAAATGGCAGTTGCGGATCGACATAAGGAAGATGAATTCAAAGGCGCTGGTACTCAAAACTAGTAATCAATAATATAAGAATACGATTTTATTTCGCATGTGGCATGAATACAGATGTCGGGTGTATTATACTAGACACTGCTATATCGATCCTGCTTCCTTTTAAAGGCGTAAAAATCCAGGGCAAGCTTTGGATACTCTGTTGCAAAAGGACTTTTGTGCATACAGCCCGGACTTAGTCACACGTAGTTTGAATGGATGACCTCTTACATGCATTGTTCTTGCTAACTTGAAGAATACACCAGGTATAAAGCAGCAGCCCTGGCCGCGCATGATACGAAAAATTTCTATCAAGTTACCTCACAGCTGCCTGCAATCAAAGGAAATATCTCAAGATTTGACAAGCGTGTTTCAAAGGGCAATGAGCACTGCCCAATCACAAGTTTGGTTGCACACCCTTGAATCATTTTGATGATGGTGAGGTTTTGCGTGGTCCATGGTATCCAAGCTTGGATTTCGACTCGTTTAGCTCCAATAACTCCTAAGGAGCAGTCGCTTTGGCGAAAGCTTTATTATAAATCATTGGATCTTTATCGAGGCCGTTGTTGGGAGGGGTGAATTCGCTATTATTTATATAGATGGATTTGAGAGATTGTAAAAAATGTTCAAGTTTTGCTCCATCCTCACTAATTTCTAGATCATAGCATGTCTTCAAAAGAGGGGGGCTCTGTTTCATGTGCTCTTTCGTAAGTAGCTATAGAATAACTTCGGATATGCAACTGTCGAATGCAGCTGCTGTTTTTCAAAATTTAGTCGTGACCTTAAGATAAGTCGCGTCCCTTTGTTTCGTACAATTTTTTACGAAACTAAGTCTGTATAGATAGTGTTCTCCTGGCGCTAGCAAATGTAAATTCCAAATACCAAATCAGCGAGGCACCACATTAATTGCTGTTCACGACCCCCTGCTCTAAGGACAGCTAATTAGCGTACACCACTATAATTACCCCTCGACTCCACTGAAAGATAATTTCCCTCTTCCCCCATCCCTTTTGATAGCTGTTTCTAAGGCCTTGACAAGTTGATTATTTCTGACAGTTGATTGGCCTATGGCCACTATAATTACCCTCATTT